GCTACCAGCACTCCGATCAACCGCCGTGGAAAATCCCTGTGATGTGAACTTTTTGTACGGTGTCAAAAATTACGCACACGATCTCTGCGCAGCAAGCTTTCGGCCTGGGGCTGCCGGTGTCGGCAGTGGTCTCGAGGATTTAACGGTCGAGGTATCAAGCTTTCGGCCTGGGGCTCCCGCTGCCGTCAGTGCTCTTGAAATCATAAAGTGGTCTGGAGGTTTCACTCGTCGAAGTAGCAAGCTTTCGGCCAGGCTCTCCTGTTGAAACATTTAAATGTCGAAGTAGCAAGCTTTCGGCCTGAGCCACCTGCTGCCGGCAGCGGCCTCGAAGCTTTAAACGTCGTGCGGCTCCCGCTGCCGGCAGTGGTCTCGAATGTTTAAACGTCGGAAATATCAAGGTTTTGGCCTGGGTCCCGCTGCTGGTTTCAACGTCGAAATAGCAAGCTTTCGGCCTCCGAGGCCCCGTGGCTATTCAGAACATTGAAAGGATTTATGGTTGCTGGGGGCCAGTTTGGATGTAGGATTTTGGGATTTAGGATTTTGGGTTTCGGGTTTTGGAGCTTGGGTTTTGGATTTTGGATTTTGTGTTTTTGGGATGTTTTGGGTTTAGGATTTGGGGTTTAGGATCTTCCGACCGCTACGAGCCAGTGAAATGAAGGGAAACGCCACACAAAAGCCGAACAGTTGTGGACTTTGCAATGCCTGCTCTTTTTCCGAAGGCCATGTCCAAGGCCTGCTGGTTTTGCAAGACTTACGGGTGCAGCACTTAGGATTTAGGATTTTTGGGCTTCGGATTTGGGATTTGGGTTTTTTAGGGGCTTGGGGTTTTGGATTTTGGGTCACAAAGGGCTTGGGTATGAAGTTTTAGGGTCTGTTTTACTGCAGTGATGTGCCTAAGCGGCTCTCTGATCGATCGCGAGCCGCTTCGCGACTAGGTCGCGCTCGCGGCCTAGACTTTAAGGGTTAGGGCTTTGTTGGTTTAGGGTTTTAGGGTTTAGGGGTTAAGGGTCAAGGGGTTTAGGGGTTAGGGTTAACACGAGGGCCTGAATAATTAGAGGGTGTTGGGGTAGATTATACTATAGTTATAGTAAGGAATCCCAAATTAGCTTTGGTAGTTATTTAAGTCCCCAAATTAGGTGGCTTGTAAATTGGCTTTAGTGTTGGAGGGGTCTGGCGCATGGAATGTGAGTTGGCTCAGAGTTCAGCCCTTTGGTCTGGGATGTACGGCTGCATGGATGATTGGGGTTTAGGGTTTTGGGGGTTCGGCCGGGTTAGGATTTAGGGTTTAGGAACTACTGGGGGGATTAGGCTCTTGCTGCTACAACGACAATGCTGTGCGAGTACTTGCGCCAAGCAGAGGTGCACATTGTACTTACAGGTGACAAGACATAGCATAACATACGATGTGATACAACGAGATAGAAAGCTATCTTGTCGCAATGAGCTGTAAAAGAGTCAGGCCCTGACCTTCTTGGCATTGGTGTCCACCAGCACCTCGACATCACCGGTTCCCAGCAAGCCGCCCTGGCGCACCTCGAAGACCAGGAGGTTCTTCTTCTCCACGATCAAGCCAGTGAGGGGGCCGATGATGGGAGGGGAGACGCACCAGTCGAGCAGCTCGCCGGTGGTCACCTTGAAGGAGGAGCCGTGCAGAGGGCAGACGATGACATCGCCGATCACATCCGCGCCCTCGCTCATGGGAGTGCCGATGTGAGGGCAGAGGTTTCCGACGCAGAAAAGGGCACCAGCCTCTGTCTTGCCGATGAGCACATCGTTGCCAGCCAGCGTCAGGGCTTTCAGCTGCTTGGGCTGCAGCTCGGAAGCCTTCACGCCCGATTTGATCCAGGCAAGAGAAGGGAGGATAGTCTGCGTGGTGTATCGAGCTGCCGTCTTGGAGGAGCTCTGCTCACGGCTGGAGGTGGTGCCGCAGAAAGCGGGGGACTGAACCTGTGCTGCCTCACGGGGCAAGGCAGACACCCCTGGAACGCTGCCCGGCAAGTAGTGGCCGACCACGTGGGACATGAAAGCCATCATGGCCAGGCGTCCGTTCTTGAGCTCCTTGAGCTGCATGGACTTCATGCTCTCGGCATCCTTGGAAAGCTTCAGGGGATCGAATCCCAGGTCACCGGGCTCACGGTCCATCTGGCCGATCCAGGAGTCCTTGGGGAAGAACTTGCCTTCGATGATCATGGCAAAGGCCGAGATCTGAGCAATGCCCAGCCCCACGATGCCCGCCGGCTTGTCGTAGCACGCCTTCAGGGCCTCGTACCAAGGCGCCTCGGGGTAGCCGTCGATGTGAAAGGCACCCTGCGCGAAGATGCCGACAATTGCCAGCATCGCGCAGCGGCCATGCTTCAACTCGGCCTCACGGAGCCACTGCACATGCGGGAAGGTCATGTTGCCGTTGAACTCAAAGTTCCGGTCGTAGAGCTTGCTGAAGCCCAGAGGATCCCAAGGCTCTCCCATGGAAAGGCCGACCTGGACATCGCGGCTATGATGCTTGATGCTGTTACTACTACCATCAGTATTGGCTTGATAATTACCAGTATGACTATGGATGTTGTTGTGATAAACCGTTCAGTACTTCTGCTATTATGTTTATGATGATATAATGATATAATGATCATGACGACGATGAAGATTACTAATACTGATACCATCATGACTCTTGTTATAAGAATATGATTCTCATGTTGACTACTACTAATACTACTTAGTGCTATCATACCCTAACCCCCCAGGTACCTACTATATAGGGTACTAGAGTCTCTAGGGCCCTATATAGTAGGTACCTGGAGGGTTAGGGATAGTTGTGTATGAGTACACAAGTAGAAGGACCTCGACGTCCGGGCCGATCAGGGCGGCGGCTGCCTTGTAGCTGCCAGGAACCGGGGTGCCCCAGTCTCCGACCAGCTGAGGCATCATGCTGTTCTCGTTCTTTCCCTTCACCTCAAGGAAAAAAGTCCCAAAGGTTTAGGGTTTAGGGCTTGAGGGTTTGAGGTTTTTGGGTTTAGGGAAACCGTAGTTAAGTGTTGAATCAAAGCAGGAAAGCAAAGCTCTGGAAGGCTTCGTCCAAGCCCGGGACGTAGGCAGGATACTCCTTGTTCATGTCCACCGGCTGCATGTGCTTGGGGAGCTTGGCCAGCTCCTGTATATGAAGTCTCCATTATTTAGATTTAGATTTTTTACATAGGACAATAAACAAGCAAGCGTACACTCACACATGCACGCAGACAAGTATAGATAGATAGACAAATAATTGAACAAAACCAAAAAACATAAGTACAATCAAACATATTTATAGATGTCTATGTATATGATCATGTCTGTCTGTCTGTCTGTCTGTCTGTCTGCCTGCCTGCCTGGCTGGCTGGCTGGCTGGCTGTCTGTCTGTATGTGTGTGTATGTATGTATGTGCACACTCACAAGTTTTACGGTTTGCAATGACGGAAACTGCTGCATGAATATGATTTGCAACAATACCTACAACACTGATGATGTGTGCAGTACAGGTTGGCGAGACTCATAAGCATCAGTACTAGTCACTACTAGCGCTGTATACCAAAGGCAGTATTTTCTATGCTGCTGTTCTGGCCTTGTGGGGGGTTAAGGATTCCAACGAAGTCCCCTAATCGGACCTAAACCCCCAACCCTAAACCCTAAACTGGGTGCAGGAGGCAGGAAGTCCTGCATTTGAGTTTGGTTTTGACTTCTTAGGGTTTAGGGTTTAGGATGTTGGGTTTAATTCATTAGGGTTTAGGATTTTGGGTTTAGGTTCTGCCTTAGGTTTTAGGGTTGCTCGGTTCCGGCCATGTTGACACAAAGTAAGGGTGAACAACAGCAAACGATCCAAATCCAAGTTCTCACCGTGAGGACGCGGTGCGCTACCTGCCTAACACGCTCACTAAAACACAGCGCTCGCCATAGTCCGGTTTGGACTGAAACTGTTCGGAGTCTAAACGTGCGACGATTCCTAGCCTCAAGCAACTGTAAACTTGGAGATTCGCAAACGCCAGCAGAGTTTCAGGAAGTCATCAGCTTTCAGCACATGCTGTATGCGCATAAACCTGAACAACCTTCTACGACGATCCAGCCATCGCGTCCTGCTCCGCCTTGCGCGCAGTTCGCCTTGGCAGGACGACGATTATGTGGATGGTGTGTGCTACATAAGCCCGAACCCGAACCTGACAAAAGCTTTTGACCTTTAGGCTTTTGGATTACAGCTTGTAGGTTCTTGGGATCGACTCGAGGCGGTTTTGCAGCTTCGGGTCTGAAGGCGGGGAAGGCCTCGGATACGCCACAGCTGTTTCCTGTCTGTTTTTTTGTTGGAGCTAAGATGTCATATATAGGAAAGGAAAGTGTTCGCCGTGTTCGCTAAAGAGCATGTGCCCGAGAAGAACAAGAATTGAGTGCTCAACTCGAGCTCCTTCAACAGCACGATGCCCCTGTGCCCCAAACGCCCTGAAGCCTAACTGAATCCCACACACGTCTGCACTCCAAAAGCCGAAAACTGTAGGACCAGAACCTACTGTATACCTCTAAACGCGAAACACCAACTTTGCATTCGGGCCTGCGGCCCGCTGCAAGGCCCGCAGCTGCGACGGCCCCGCAAAGTGCTGCGGCCGCGGTGGTGGAGAGAGTGCCCTCGACCTCCAAAACGCAGCAGCACGAGTGGTGGTACTGGTACCTATAGCTACTAGGTCGTGGTAGTAGTGGTGGCCGTGGTCGTGGTCGTGGTCGTGGTCCTGGTCGTGGTCGTGGTCGTGGTCGTCGTCGTCGTCGTCGTCGCAGGAGTAGTAGTAGTAGTAGTAGTAGTAGTAGTAGCAGTAGCAGTAGCAGTAGTAGTAGTAGTAGTAGTAGTAGTAGCAGCTAGTAGCTAGTAGCTAGTAGCTAGTAGCTAGTAGCTAGTAGCTA